CGCCAAGAACGCATACCTGTTCTGAGAAAAAGTCACTGATGTTCATTTTAGGTTAGTGGCTTTTCTTGGCCTTAATAAGGTCGTAGTGACCAAAACCTGCGCTATTATGTTGAGTTTTGAATTCGAATTTTTTAATTTTAGCTGAGAAGTTGAAATTTAAATTACTCTAGGCAGAACTTTCCCTAAAAAAGGGTTGATCTGGGCTATTTTAAGTCACGGTCTCATTTTGACTTGAAACACGCGCCCGGGTGGGACACAGGCCAATATGACCGCCCCTAAAGTTTTCCGGAATGATTTCAGAACGGCGCGGCCTAGCCGCGCCCAATTCGGTATGACTATAGACAATAAAATATTGGATCGTTTGGTATCGAAAAACTTAGGTGTAACTTTCTAGGCCGCTGATCTACGGCAGGTCAAAATGAGGCCGTAGATTTGGCAACGACAATTTCTACGGGATCGTTCAGTCTGATGCAGCAACGGAGTGTTAGACAAAGCCATAATCTCTGAGATAGTTTCTAAGGAAACGCAGCAATTTAATGAACACGTCTCTCTGACCTAGGGTCAGGTGCAAAGGTCAGACCAAGGTCAAAACCAACCCGTTTTATCTCTAGGCCTTGTGGTACATGGTAGTGTTTGGTGCTCATTTTGAATTCATTGATAGCGGGAACCGCCTTGTACACCTTCCATGCACCAGTGACCTAAAGCTTAGAACAGGCATCCAGGTTCACGGCTGCATGAGAAGGTCTGCGGGCACTTTGGACACCAATCTGCAGTTTGACTTTGCCTGACATTATGACGCTCAAAAATTACCCTTATCACCAATGACCCTCAAGTTTCGGCAACAGTGAGTTCACAGACAGGGCAACATACCCTACGAATTTGGTGTCTCTAGCTCCTTAGTTTCTGAGATCTTAGGGGAGAGGATTCAAGTTGACCTCCATCTGTTCTGTTGCGGCCCCTACTATCAAAAAATTCGAAATGAACCTCAAAAACTTCACATAAAAAGCTTTCCAGTAAAAACAAGTTAGTTTTAACCTCGGTCTGACCTCCATACATGACCCTAGGTCAATGAAATTTGTTGCAATTACAAAGCCAATTATTTTGTTGCTAAAGAAACTACCGCAAAATGTGTATGGCTTCGTGTAACACTTTTGTCGCATCAGATTGAACAAGTCCTTAAAGATTGTCGTCGCTGACAGCTACAGCCTTACCTTGACCTGTCATAGGGCAGTGACCTTAAAGGGTGCATCCAATTTTAATATATAAAAAGATCCGCCATTCAATAACCCACAGCCATGCAAAGTTTGGCGTGATTACGTCACACCGTTCGAACATAATTTTGTATGAACTTTTTGGGGTCATATTGACCCCCACCCGGGCGCGTATTGATATTCTAAATGACACGGAAGTGTTTTTAAAATCACGCATTATTCCATCTTGGCACAGCGTTGGACCCAAAGGCAATGATGTCAGCAATGAATAAGGCACGCGCGAGCGATTCTTTTTGCATTGTATATATGCATGTACAATGTCCCGGCGGCTCAGTTGGTTACAGCGATTCTTCCGATCCACACACCCGTGGCGGGGCAGGTTGTAGTCGATGCAGGCGTTCGTAATATGTTCTAGACATGTATGCCCTGCCGCCGAAGGTAGCCACCGCGCTAAAGGTCAGGTGACGTCAGAGGACAGGACGGGTCGTGCCGAACTTGGCGGCACGTTTAAATTTCACCACTAAATTCTGCCGTTGTCCTGAAATTGCGTGATCAGATGGGAGGGGCCAGGACTCGAACAACATGCACTGCTTAGCGTGAGCTCTGATCCCCGAGATCCACCCATTCAAAATGTTTATCATTTAAGAGAGAGAGAGAGAGAGAGAGAGGAGAGAGGAGAGAGAGAGAGAGAGAGAGAGAGAGAGGAGAGAGGAGGGGAGGAGAGAGAGAGAGGAGAGATGAGAGGGAGAGGGGAGAGGAGAGGGAGAGGGAGAGGGAGAGGGAGAGGGAGAGGGAGAGGGAGAGGGAGAGGGAGAGGGAGAGAGAGAGAGAGAGAGAGAGAGAGATATATATATATATATATATATATATATATATATATATATATATATATATATATTAATGTTTGAACTATGCACATTTTGAACGGAGAATGCATGACAAACATCCTCTTCATTTATGGCACAATGAAGGGGTTACATGACAATAAGTTATTTCCAGCTTTATAAAAAGTAATACAAATATCGAGGAGCTCGGGTGCCTCCTGAGGATGATTTGGTCATGGTCTGATCAATTCGACGGTGAAAGGAACGGAATGAGACGGTTTGCAACTTGTCAACAGTCAAGGTTTCCATCCCATTCCAACCGAAATTTGTACATTGTGCATCCCCTTTACGAGAATTCTTTGTTTATGCTTTGTGAAGCGTTTTCACTGATGCATTTTAGCCACACGAGGGCATGGTTTAGGTAGCCAATCATTGTTGCGTTTTTGTGGGCAACTTTGGTATAGACCCGAGCCTTGGTTATTGAAAAAGCAACGAGCCGTCGTGCTCACCTTTGGCTGTGGCCACTTCCCACACCGGTACAGTGCCCTGCCGAGGCCTGGAACGTTTCACAGCTGCGTTGCGGGGAGGCCTCAGCCTGCTATGTGGCCTCGGCTGCCTTTTGATGATGTAACGAGCTGTCCTTCTGTTGCTGGGGTGTTGCATCACACACTCACCTCGCCTCATCCCGGATCACATGGGCCTGCTGACCGTGCTCGCGAGCTTGGCTAGCTGCATTCTTGATTAGATCTTTTAATCAGTGGCGGCTTTTGCTTCTCCGGCCATCTCGACCTGCACGCCGGTCACGTGACTAAGCCGCGTGTCCATTTGCGGGCAATGCAGCCGTGTCACGTGGTCGCCGTGAGACTGCTCGAGGGCTGGCGGCGACGCGGCCCGGCCTCAAATATTTAGACGATGAGTTGATCCAGGAAGGTCTCACACGTCACCTGTCAAGGGAATTCGGATGGACGTGACGCGTGGCGCAGCGGCCGGCATCTGGCGCACCGCGCGCCGCCAGCTCGCGTTAGGACTTCGGATCATGGATCCCGTCAGACAGGCACCCCCTGTGCTTGAATGTCCTTCTCTTTTTGCGGCTGTTGTGAAGGCGTTTTGCTCGTACCGCGCTCTCGCCTGTATGGGTAGGATCGTAAACATAAACGGCTGCGTTTTTATGATGCTCTGCATGAGCCAGCTACTGCAGCTCAAAGGGACGTGGAAGTATTATCGTATGATGTAAGTATAGTACACTATCGATTGGTTTGCTCAAAATTCATCATAACACCAAAAAACAATCCTGATCATAGTCGGGGCCATTAAATTAAGTCCCTTCTACATAAGCAACGCACGTTTACGTGTCTAACACTCAGCTCAGGAACCGCGGACTAGACGGAAGCGTGGGTGCTGGGCGGTGCAGCATGGGACGTACGCACGGAAACGTTCCTTGCACGCGCGGAGAGCTGCACCCGATAAGCATGAAATGTTACGTCCGTTATTGTATTGCATTTACTGCTCGGAACTTTCGACCAGATACTGTATTGCAGTCATCAGTGTATTTGAAACCGGCACTTCAACAACCAATTTGGATGCGGTCTGCACTGGTGCCATCAACGAGGTGTGGGATACTCGTACTCGTAATCAAGGATACTCGTTTAACCTAAAACATGCTCCGGAAGAAGAGCTATTTTGAGGTTATTTGGCTATCGAGACATGCCGATGGTTTTGAAGCATTTACCACAGCATTACACAATGTTATCTGTTGCACTGTCGCGACGGTGTCAGAAAATGAAGCGGCGATCGTTTTATTTCTTGGCGTGATTTATTATATCACTATAAATCCATAAGGAAATGGTACGTTACTTATTTTCCTCTTAATTCATTTGATGCTTCATAGTTATTTGGGATCCGTCTCCCGGCTTGCAAAGGCCCATGAAAAAGACACCTGACAGCAATCACATACTTGTCTGGGTAGAACGTGTCTTCGGCGCGTCTGGGAGGGACTCTACGGTTTTTCTCTTTTGAAAAAAAATCAGATTTGACCTATTTTTGACCTTGGTGTGACAGTTATACCTGACCTTGGGTCAACGGAATTGGTTCATTCAATTGTTGTATTGCATATGAAAGCATCTCGGAGATGTATGGCTCCGCCTCACATTCCGTTGTTTCATCAGATTGAACGATTCTTTAGAGATTGAATTTGCTGAATCCATGACCAGACCTCAACCTGCCGTAAGTCAGTGACATTTCAAGGTACATCTATTTTTTCATGCCAAACGATCCGCTCTTTTCTACAGCTATTCAAAACTTGGCGCGGCTGCCGCGCCGTTTGAAAGCAATTCCGGAAAAACCCTTGGGGAGTCAAATTGGCATCCCACCGTAGCTCGTGCTGGTGGTGGGCAATACCATTTTCTGAAAATGGCCTCATCTGCACGATTTGGCTTTCCAAAATGCATGATGACGTCAACGCGTTCTCTTCATATTCAGCTGACGCAAGGCTGTCCTTGTCTAGGAAGCAATACAAGTGACTCACCTCTAGCATCTAACATCATCTATCATCTAACATGTACAAATGATAGTTTCTATCATGTTTATAAGATGTACTGTTTTGCAGTATGATCAGGCAAAGTACCCTCGTTATGATCTGTGTGGTATGCTTGCACCCTAATTACGATTTTGTGTCAGATTAGGTAAACGAGCCGAGATATCAGTGCATCCTCACGGCACATCACAGGGCAATGTAACTTCAATAGTCCATGCCTCTCCCGAAGCTTCTTGGAGGCGTATAGGTTGCTGCACGTACGCCACCGACGGAGCAACTTTCGGCCTCGGCAGCAGCAATCTCTCGGCTGATCGGCCGGGATCTTCCCCGCCCAGCAACAGTGCAACTGCCGGAGCGGAGGGGCCCTGTGCAGACACGGCCGGGCGCGCGCTCGGCCGCTGAACTTTGACCCTGCGTCTCGCGTGCCGCCAGATCGCCCTGCTGCGGGCCCACGGCGGCGAGCACCTGTTGCTGGGCGCGTCCTGGAGGTCGCTCCATCTCAACGGTTACGTGCTGCTGGGCAACAAGAGCGTCGTCACCCGCGGGTCGCCAGGTCAGCGGCGGGGTCAGGGCGGGGTCGCGGTCGCGGAATCTGGCGGGTGACTTCAAGCGAGGAGCGTTATGTCAGGCGGCGAGGGGATAGGCAAACGCCGCCCTTTTGTTTGCGGAGAAGGCCGCCGCTTGCTGGCCGTTGGACTCGTCTCTGACGTCGATGAGCGCGCGCACTGGCGTCCCAGTGGTCCTGTCTGAGCCCCCGTCTAGCGGTGATTGTGTCTGCGCTATCGATGGCGTATAAATGCTTGCTTGCTTGTGGTCATCAAAGACCGCGATTGCCGTAGGTGGTGCAGTGCTTACGAATCCGCCTGAAGGTTGGCTGGGCAATGGTAGTCCTTGCCAGGCTTTTCACCCAACGCGGTGTCATCGGGACAGTCCAAGAGAGAGCTTGGAGAAATGTGAGAAATAGGGAGGATTCTCCTAGCCGCTGAGGGCTGGGAAAACTAAGAGGCCAAATATAATCCAACTTTGAAACTTTTGCATTCTGCATTCAAGGCTGTTTGAAGTGCGGCTATTGTTAGTTTGTGTAGGACAGTTTCCTCTCCACGATAAGTAAATTTTTTGTCATAGTGGTCTCCCATACTATGGCTCTCATACGTGGAAGACATAGGTGTCTTCCATACTACAGGAATAAAGAACCATTCGGAGTGGGATATTTAGACTATCCGTAGGAGAGCTGGGATACGCGTCAACGGTCACCGAGGCAGATAAAGGAGCGTTGGAACATGGTGAAAAACATCCTATTTACACCACCAAAAGCGTAAGTTCAGAGTCCACATCCTATTTACACCACCAAAAGCGTAAGTTCAGAGTCCACAGTCCCGGACAGTCAGACGCCACGTAGGAGGATGCGCCTCCATTCCAGAAAAGCGCACAGCCAGATAATTGCACCCTGCCCACTCCCCATCTGTTAACGGTGCACATAATGTAACGATATTAATTGGTAACAATATGAAGTATGAGTTAAAAACAGCACCGAGTAAGAGGTTTAACTTCTTAATGCCAGACATCTAAGTGAGGGTTTCACGAGAGGCGGGGAGAAGGGCCGTGTGAAACACCCAATCCGACTTGTGGGCCATACATTCCCAACCTTTCCTCCATATCGAAGGCGACCCCCTCGGCCAGCGTTGTTCACCCCATAACTCCTGGGCCGCAACTTCGCCCGTCAACCCTCCCCCCCCCCCCCCCCCTCCGTCTCCCTCTCCACCACCATATCCTTTGACCATGCGGCCGCCGTTATGACACCCTTCAGTAACGTCCTTGGCGAGATTTTGCGCCAGCAGACATAGAGCGTTAACGCTCAGTCATGTACTCGATTGAGCGATTAAAAGTTAACTGCATTTTTCGTTCCCGCGATGCTTATGATCCACCACCACCGCATCTTTGAAACTGGCAAGATGAGTGTGGGGACAAAACTATTGCCTCCCCCCCCCCCCCAACACACACCTTTTGAATGCATCTTCGACCGCGGCATGCCTACCCGCGATCAGCTGTTGCCCAGCCAGTCGATCTACAGCTTCTCCGCTGTGGGGATGGCTGCGACAGAGAACAAACGACAATACTCCGCCCCGCAGGCCATCCATCATCGCGTTGAGAAATGTCGGCAGCGCAAGATAATTGGGATACTTACAGGGGAATTGGCACGTTTGTCCCAATTCCCTTCATAGCTAAAGCCCCGTTCTTCGCGAGCTGCACAAGTTGACGGATGTGTTGCGGACTCCTCCAATATACACACAACCAACCAAACCACAACTAATATACACACAACCACGCGACAGTTGTAAGTGTGGCGCTGATTATACTTGCTGTGCTTGAGGCTACAATTTGATGACATATATATATATATATATATATATATATATATATATATATATAATATCTCTCTCGCTCTCGCTCTCGCTCTCGCTCTCTCTCTCTCTCTCTCTCTCTCTCTCTCTCTCTCTCTCTCTCTCTCTCTCTCTCTCTCTCTCTCTCTCTCTCTCTCTCTCTCTCTCTCTCTCTCTCTCTCTCTCTCTCTTTTCATATAAATATCACATTTATAGAAAACAACTGCGCAAGAAAAAGGAGGAGATTGTTAATTTGTAATCCCAAACTAGTAGCACAATAGGGTTGCAGCTTGCACCAGGGGGTGCAACGCGAGGCCTCAGGATATCAGTAGACCCAATGGTTCCCCCGCCCCACCCCCGACTAGCTACGCTCCTGCTGTATGTTTGCCTGGGCTACGGACTGCTTGTCGCATAAATATCCCCAGTTTATGAAAGCGCAGCAAAAATGCCAGCAAAGCCGGGCAACCAGTGTAAGCTGCCGTTCATTTTGCACGCTTGTGATGTGACAAGTTTTCGCGTTCATCATTTGGGAAAAGTTTCGCGTGGCCGTCACGTTATCACGCGGTTCGGATCCGTCGCTGCCCGTCGAACCCCTGCAAGCAGCATGGTCGGCGAGGCCGCGACGTAATGCCGCGATGGCATGATACACGCAGAGAGTACGCGAACGCACCCATCGACGCTCGAGGCTTCGTAAAAAAGCTGCTGTCCTAAGTCCGACACGGAGGCTGATCTGGGGGGGGGGGGGAGGGGCAGAGGCGGGTCGGCCGGGGCGCAGCGCGCCAGCGGAGCGCCGGTAATCGCTCCCGAGCCCACCAGATAGCGTATCTCTCCCCCTCCCCCTCCCCCTCCCCCAGCTCGATCGACATCTCCCGCCTGGGGCCATTCGGCTGCACCCGCACTGAAGCAGGACGGCTCGTGTTTGTGTATGTGTGTCTGTGCGTGTGTGTATTTGTATGTGTGTGCGTATGTGGAGCTGCGCGCTATGCTGTCTCCAGCCCCCCCCCCCCTCGCGCTCGGGGACAACGGCACCGCCCATGAAATTTACCGTAAACCAGCCTTCAACCGCCAAATGCCAACAAGCGGTTTGGGATCCTGAGAGGTAGGCAAGCGCACTTCGTCACACCGAACCGATGCGGGGCTATCGCGTGCCGTAACGCGAGGTTAGGAACGAATGGGTCCGCAGTGTCAGTGGGGGCTCAGAGTGTGCGTAGTTTGCACTGCGAGCACGCATTGTGAATCAACAAGCTTTCGCACGAACCACGTGAGGGGAACAGTGTTAGGGAGGAAAAACGGCCGTGAAAAGGCGCGCGGCAATTCCGAGCTGGCGACCAAGCCAGACGTGCATTGGTGGCGACCAGCGAAAGGTAACCCTGGAGATGTGTCACGGAAGTGTCAAACATGGAGCATCAGGGACACTAAGTCCGGCGAACTACTGTTTCTTGGGGGCAAAAGGAAGTATAGGGATTTGATGGCTTTGCTCATTTTTTACACATACCCTACGTCTTTTCGATCCGGGTTGTCTTTGATGCTGAAGTACGGTGGCAGCAGATAGTTGTACACACCGACCCTGGACCCCGCGTCCCGCGTCGCCGTCCTGACCCAGTGCCTCCGGAGGCGTGGCTCTACCCGCGACACCTGAATTCCACACCTGCCCCGTCGTATCGTCGACCCTGAATCACGCCTCCCCCCCCCCGCGTGACCTTTGACAGGGCAGGGTCTGCCGGCCGCCGGGACAGGTCAAAGGTGCGGTCCATGTTTTGGTTCAAAGTGCCAAGGCTGTGCGGAAGTGGCGCCGGCCGCAGAGCCGGCAGCCGCCCGCCGCGTGACGCGGTTCCGGAGGGGGTCGACGACGCTGCCACCTGGCGGGCACCGTCAGCGCCGACAGGGCCGCCGGAGCGAGGCAGAGGTCAACATTGGGGGCAGCGTATATTGGGCGGTCAGTACAGGATCTTGTATCCTAATCGCCATATATATATATATATATATATTGCTGCGTCCACTCTAGCCGTGTTAGGCCATAGGTTTAACGTCAGTGCACCGGAATGTTGGGATCCGGCTACTTTCCGATCAACAGCGAAGTTCCGCTCATGCGTGGTGTGCCCATGTGCTCATGCGCGGGGCTGCCTCCTGATAGTGGAGCACTGAGCACGCACAGTGGCCAGTGTTCCAGTTGCCAGGCTGGATCGTCCAGCTCTCGTGAGCGGATGCCGCTGCCAGTGCGTGGATAAGCCCGGCGCTAGCGACACGGGAACATGCCATTTGCGTCTGGAAATGGCGTTTCCCTCGATGCGAAGGTGTCCTCCAAATCATCACAGCTGTGGACGCCGTCTGTCGGAGGCCGACACAGGAGATTGGCCGAATGGCGTGGCCCGACTTGGCCGGAGTGCGGTATGAGCGCTCGGCTGTCGGGAGAAATAACGCCGCACAACGAGATGACAAGAAGGTGGGGAAAAACGTTCAGATCAGAGATAGCGGTTTGTTCCTGGCGCCCTGGTTAGGTAGATGCATTCGGGCGGTTGGCTATGGTGTCCTTGCTGCGCTGATGACGGAAATCACGCATTAAAAATCAGCACTGGAGCCATAGTCCTCTGTCGCCTGTCCCTGTCCAGCTGGGTGCCGACGCAAGCACGCCATGTCTCGCCAGTCACCGTGGTAAAGGCATGCCCGAGTTGGATTTCGTCGCAGTTCTCCCCTCTCCGTGCCGTGACGCTGTTGCTCAGAGTTTCTCCTCCGCAGCAGTTGGCGACAGCGTGTAAGGGTTCCAGGCGTCTGGGCTCGCGAGGACGTGAACTATTCCACGCAGCGGCGTACACGTGAAGAACCACCCCTCGCGGGCCTGGTGCAGCTGGTTGTGTGATGTGTCACATTCCATAAAACGCGTCGGTTTGTTTACACGAGCTTGTGCGAAGAACTTGCAGGTTCAAAACGCCTCGGCTGCTTGGCGAGAGTTTTGGCGTTCTTGCTGACCGATTCGTGTGAGCAATCCGTCAACAAAACATCGCGCAAAATGGCTGCACGCAGTTTGTCTAATACCGTTGTTTTTCAATGACTCAAATGAAACAGACGACGGTGTACCGGTGTTGTTAGAGACACCACCTGTCTCCTTCCTTTTTTGAGCCGCTCGCCGTTAACAGTCATCGACCATTAGCCCGCTGTTGGGCACGTCTTCAGCGTCACCATTTCCCAGCTGTGCGCGACCCCCCACTCCGTCCGACCTCCGGCGTCGGCCGGCCGTCGTCACCCCCTGACTGCTCCGTGTCGGGCGCCGGAGGACCGGCCGGCGGCCGCGCCGGCGCGGGCAGCTGCGGCCGCCAGCCCCGCCCCCGTCCCCCCGTCCCCCGGCCGGCGTGCCTGGCCGATAGCCGCGGCCGGCGCCACTGCCGCCTTATCTGTTTACAGAGTCAGCCGAGAGCGTTGTCTCGGGTTGTCCGCTGGCGGTGGCGCTGAGGGGCGGGGGGGGGGGGGGGGATGGAGGGGGTCGGACGGCGAGGGCACGGGCATGTTATGCGGGGTGATCTGCAGCTGGATGATCCTTTCCGACGCCGGCTGAGTGCTGTGGTTACTTACTGTTAGTGCTGCGGTAGGTTGCCTTCAGCTGCGGCCAATTAGAACGACGAGCTCTGCTGAGCCATGCGATCCCGGATCTCACCGTGCGCTCCTCCCGCGTCCGGCTCCACCTTTGAATCTTGTTGTCGAGAGCGGCGGGATCTGATGTCTTCCACATACAGAAGCTACTTGCCTGCTCGGCTTGTCTCGTCTCCGTGTCCAAGCATTACACATTGTTGATCACCGGTATTTTTTAGATGCCTTCCCGCATCCCCAGAGTTATTTTGGCCACACCACGTAAACACCACTAAATGCGTAGGAGAAAATTTTGCTCCTCGTCAATGACATCTTGGATAAACTCACCAGCCGCTCAAGCACGTTTGATAACCACCCAAGAGTGAACGATTCATAGCGAATAAAGTAGATAGTTTGAAGCAAGGCAATCCTTTTTACCAACAATTTTAACTCGTTGAACCCCGATTTGTCATTTTTGGTTAAAAGTGTAACTCAGTAATAATAAATCTAAGACATGTCAGCTTCAATACTTCACCACGTGTAACTATCCTGCCGTACATAGCTTTGGGACAGAATTGGAGCAGCTAATACAGAAGTGGTTGCCAGCAAAATTCTGCTCTTAAAAACTGGTTTCTCAATATCTTGAGTGCAGAATTCCTCGTGCTTATTTCACATTGCGATCTTGTAGGTTGGCGGGTATGATTGATAATGCTATTTTGTGGGTGGGTTAGATGATGCTGCCTGCCAGAAAACCATGCGAAGATGCTGCCTTTTAGTTGGGGAAGCTGAAAGAAGCCGTCCTTTAAAATGACGGTAATTTTGCCGTTAGGAGCACCTGATATTTAACCCTACCAAGCTTCTAAACATGATTTATGACCAGATTCGGCGATCTTCTGTGATATATCCCGTTAGGTTTGTTTATAAAGCATATTATCATGCCTCAAGATATTTAATTTAACATTTTGCTTCTTCCCTGCAAAGAAGTGCACGGCTCTCCAGCTGCTTTGGCACGAGCACGCCCTAAGGCAGAAAGCTGCTTACCAGTGACTGATGATCCAACGGCTCAACCGGGAGAGCGAACGGCTGATATTTATGTTAATTTCAAGGAAGAGCTCTAAAACTTCACAGAAATCCAGTTCATGGCCACTGGTCGGTTCGGGGCAATGAAAAGTAATGGCGTTTAAGGCCAAATTCAACAAATCATAAAATTCCACGATTTGCTTGCGTTTATTCTTCCTTTCGCCTGACGTAATGCTTTAACAAAACTGTCATTTGTATAAGGTTCTTAGATGGTCTCTAAAATGCAGATGTGTTCATTCTTGGACTATTTTAGTTTTCCGTGGTCCATGAAACCAGTGCCTCTCCTGGATCCGCCACTGTCCATGGTTTGATCGCTATTTGTGTCTTTGTGTATTTTTTGGTGGTGTGTGCTCAGTGCTGAAAAGACAGTGCCAGCCGCGGCACGAGCTTACGGCATATGCAATGGCGTAGCGTTGATTAGAAGACGTGTTGTTTCGTCCATGTTGCGAGGGAGAGGGAAGCGGGATAGGAGAAATGGAGCGTGAGTTATTTGAAAAATAGAAGAATACCCAAGTTTTAGCGCTTCGCCCGATAGAATGCAACGCATAGCAGAGTTTTGAGCGTGAGGAAGCAGGCCGTTCCGTCCGCATTTATAAACGGCATCGTCCAAGGCATACCCTGACACGCTAACGCTCACAGAGGTGTCCCACATTTCTGTGGTCTTTTGAATTAAATTAGCCATATTTAAGACCATGAAGCAGTTCGCAACCCTACCCTTCTTGAGACCTACATCCCCCCCCCCCCGTAGCTTCTGAGCTACGCGCCCGCAGAGGTGCGGAGACGATTTCGGGAAGAGCATCTCAAGGTTACCATGACTACGTGACGTCATAATAAAGTGCTTCAAAGTCTGCCATTCCAAAAGTCATACAGCTATCAAGGCCAAGACTAATGAAATGATCGAGTCGTTCATATCTGTTGTCCGTGAGCACGATTTCCAGATATAACGGCCGTCAATTAGCTCTCAATCAATACTGTGCAAGGTACAATGACGTAATCAAACAATGCCGCATCGAGGGGCATATTTACTTAACAGAAGAGATATTGCGTTGTTTAGAGCAGTCTTTTCCACTTAAAAGTATATCAATAGTTGTTAATGAGCTTGTCTCACCACCATATCTGATGCTTCCTTCAATATTTTCAAACGTGAAACATTCCCTTTAGTCCGCAAGCGACATTTGTATGCGCATTTTTGTACAATACGCCGCTGGCCCGGCCCTGCATGCATCCCTGCATGAAAGAGGAAATGTCATACGACCATACGGAGTGGCAATCATGCATCGCAAGGAATGCACGAATTATGAGCATTGAATGCTTCCATGCACATCACTGGTTTTTTACCAGACAACATCGAATGTCTACTCGATGCCACACGTCCTATTTGCACATGCCACACAGGCATACGGTGTAATTTCGGCACAGTCCACTGACAGACGCGTGTGGTAGGACGTACACACGCCATGAGGCCGACGCACCAGGGGTGCTCGGCTCCACTCATCCCATATGATGCGAAACCAGTGCACGGGTGACCTGTTTGTGCTCAACAACAATATTTAATTGGTGATGATTCGTTCGATAACCGACCAGATATGATTGCAAGGTGCTGAACTGGTAGATAGACGCAATTATCAGGAACAGGTCACCGGCTTCGTTCAATCTGCATCCGGAATGTCAGTATCTGCGATGACAGTGGATGGATCGACTGGGCTGTCTTCTGCCGGGAAGCGAACTGGTTCAGCGGAGGAGGCTTGGGTGGATCTTTGACGCTGAAATGGAAAGGAACGTTATATCGTATTTATGTGTCGCATTTGTGAGATAACTTCCACGCCAAATTAAAATATATCATTTTGTTGGCCTGGCCGTCAGTCATTGACTCATAGCTTTCACATCCTGTGAATTGAGTTTTTCACCCCTGTTTTTTTGCGGTGAATTTTTTCGCTCCCAACCTAGCTCGAAAGCGATTCTAGCTCCCTGCCTATGAAAAGTTAGTAGGTAGTTAGTAGGTAGTCAAGGACGGATAGAGGTAGTCCATTAGTTAGTAGGTAGGGAAGAGCGGTGGGGTCCGCTATCTTCCACATGCAGAGTCCACATGCCTGGTTGGCTCGTCGTGTCTTCATGGTGCTGGGTGATGCGATGTGATTAACTTCACACCCATCACCGCGTGGGTGCGGCTGTCGTGCCTTTGGGCCCTTTGCTGACTGACTTCACACCCACCACTGCGTGGGTGCGGCTGTCGTGCCTTTGGGCCCCGTGCTGACTGACTTCACACCCATCACCGCGGGGGTGCGGCCGTCGTGTCTTTGGGCCCCGTGCTGACTGACTTCACACCCATCACTCCGTGGGTGCGGCTGTCGTGCCTTTGGGCCCTTTGCTGACTGACTTCACACCCACCACTGCATAGGTGCGGCTGTCGTGCCTTTGAGCCCTGCGCGTGAAAAAAGAAAGGCCCGAACCAGAAGCACACGGCCCACGCTTCGACGAGACATTTACACATTCCTGCATTTAGCTCGTGTTGTGCTTTGGGAAGTATGGCTTATTCTGCGCCGACATTGAAGTGCGCGTATGCGGCCATCGTCAAGGTTCTTGCCGTTCCTCAAAGACTCCAGCACGGCTATCGTAATGCCCTTTCCATCTTAGCTGCGACTGGCGACTCCGGAGACGAACGTGTGACATAGCGGCCTTATGGCCAAGGTTTGCTCGGTGGGAGACTTTATGTAAAGGTGTGTTTCAATTTGTTCTCATGAAATATGGAATACTCCCATCTCTCATCTCACATCAATAATCTCACATAAAAAACGTATCTAATTTTTGGAAATAAGGTTGCCACGTACATAGGTGGAAACACCGGAATCCGCTAATGGCTCAAATCTTGCACACATCACGTTGTAAGATCAATGTCCGCATCAAGCCGAGTTTTCCGAGGCCGAGACAGGAGATACGCCGAGCTGTTAAAAAAGCCGCGGGCGTTTGCGGGATGCTAAAGCTCGTGGTATGCTCTGCTGCGTGCTTGCGGAGACATGTCAGAACCAGTGCTGGGGTCACTGGTTCACTAACCCGACGGTGGACAAACACTCACCGACGCGCTGGGCAGCAGTTGTTTATCTCCGAGACTCAGAGTCTGAGCGCTGGGCGTTAGCGGTAACGAAAATACACACTGTCTGTGTAAACAGGGCTCGGCGATCGTGTCTGAGACCGCGACATTATTTGTTTGGCCTCCACGTAGGCATCATTGATGGTCGCTTTTAGCATTTTTGACGTCGGTGCGACTTGAGCAGCGGCTTTTGCCTCACTCCAATCTTTTAAACGTGTGGGTTTTGCACACTTTATGTGCTATAGATGGGATGTCCGTGTGCGCTCCTTAACGACGCGTGCGCTGCTCTGTTATAAAGTATGCGGTGCTAATGTTTGCACGAGCATCAATCGGGCCAGCGACGGGTTTTATCCGCGGTTTTGCTCGTCAAGTGGGCCTTGTGTTCACTACAGCTTACTGTTTGCTCGACAGATGCCGCTATCAACAAGATTGGCGGCCGTCTCATGGACGAGGTCATCAAACCTATGCGTGACATGCAAGTGGACGAGACGGAGTACGCGGCGCTCAAGGCAATAGTCTTCTTCGATCCAGGTACACTAAGTGCGTATCTCGATCTCCCTTTTGTTCAAGCCAGGGGCGGCACTAGGGATTTTGAGATACGGGGGTGGTGCGGGGGCAGGAGGATTTCCCAGTGGGTTCCTGTACAAAATCGGGCTTCCTCTCAGGGTGACCTCCTGGGCAGTATTGCATCCAAGGGTAGGCACCCAGGGGGTACGTGCTCCCGCATGACGTTGTTGTACGCGTCAGTACCCATTTAAAGAAACATCGGCGAATACAAATCCAGAATGAGGATCTTCTAATCATACTTTTGCATCGTAACGGAGCGCACCTAATCATGCTCCGTTCGTGGTTTAGGCTCGAGTGGGTGGCCACTGGTTGTGTGTTCCAATGCAGTTACAAAATACGTAGGTCTTGTCCAGGGTTGGTAATCCGAAGTTGACATCACCGTTGTGTGGAGCGTAACATTTGAAGAGTGGAACGTACGTTTATTAACACGCAGGCTCATAATGACACCGGGAAAGTCCCGACTCGAGTTAACCGATATGAATGCGATGAAATCTGGCGTCTGCTCACTAGGCATGCCGCACTGCGGCTGGCGCACCCCGCGTGTATCGGACTCTGCGCCGCACGGGCGTGACGTGACTTCGACCGGCGGGTCTGACCTGACCTGACCTGATGTGACCTCCCCGGCGCTGCAGCGGTCAGCCGGGGGTCGGCGGGCGACTGGTGCCGCGTCGAGCAGTGCCGCTACACCATCCAGCTCAACCTGGAGGACTACATCACCGACCGGCAGTACAGCCAGCGCGGCCGGTTCGGCGCCATGCTGCTCATCCTGCCCAGGTGAGCGCCGCGCGGCGCTGGCCGGGGCGGGGCGCACCGCCGACCGAACGGCGTTGTACGTCAGGCGACGCTCGGTGACGAGCAGAGCGGTGTCCGTTCGGGGCGGGGGGGGGGGGGGGTGAGTCTTTTAAGACGTGGCCTTACTCGTAACGTTCATCGTCATGACGCCATTTGTGTGGAGTTGGCGGCGTTGCTCCCCCCTCCCCCTCCTGTCATCTGCCGTGTTGGAGCCTATGATCATGCTCCTCAGCGCGTGGGTTAGAATGGCCATTGATACGCAGGGTGCAGATCTGGCTGGCACACGGCCAACACAACAGTCGGGCCAAAGGGGCACGCCAGCGACAACAATCGGGTCAAAAGGGTGCACCGACGACAACAATCGGGTCAAAAGGGCACACCGACGTCAGCAATCGGGTCAAAAGGGCGCACCAACAGCAACAATCGGGTCAAAATGGCACACCGACGACAACGATCGGGTCAAAAGGGCACACCGACGACAACAATCGGGTCAAAAGGCACACCGACGACAACAATCGGGCCAAAAGGGCGCACCAACGGCAACAATCGGGTCAAAAGGGCACACCGACGACAACAATCGGGCCAAAAGGGCGCACCGACGACAGCAATCGGGCCAAAAAGGTACACCGACGCGTTCACTCAGTCTGCCAGTCTCTGACTGCGCTACCGGGGCTGGCTTGGGTCGGCTGCGCTGCTCCTGGCGTGTCGGGCAGCAGCTGTTTATCAGCCGTGTGCTGACGGGCCTCCATGACCCCCACGTGGGCCGCCCGGGCCTGCGCTTCGACTGACCCCCCCCCCCCCCGCCCCCTCCCTGTTCCGTGCTCAGTCTGCAGTCAATCGCCCGGGAGATGGTGGAGCAGGTGCAGCTGCTCAAGATGTTTGGCACGACCAAGGTGGATAACCTGCTGGTGGAGATGCTGCTCGTCGGTGAGTCTGTTGCCGCAGCGGGACGATGGAGCGTATCGCGCTTTCGGACTATTTTAGGGAGTGTTGGCGGGAGGCTCGTAGTGCCTCACCCTGAGACACTTCAGCTGTTGACGGGTTCGAGTGAGCGTGATGGTTATTAGAATACGTGTCTAATGTTGAGAATTCCCAGCAGTATCCTAACGCGTTGATCTGTCGGGGTAAGTCATTATGTATAGGATGCGTAAAGATTAGGCCTCGTACGAATCTTTCGCCATGGAAATATTATTTGTTCTGCTTTCATGCGAATGTGTGTAAAGGTGGCATATTTTCGCCATTCATCTTCATCTCGCTTGCTCAACATCACGTCAATTGTCTTTTGGTTTACGTGCGATAAATGCACTTACCCTCAGCACCAAACACGCTGGGAATCCTCCACGAAAACGCCGCCTTCACGTGTCGTCCTTTCTCAGGTAGCGTTGCTGGAGAGATGGGGGCCGCGGACGGCCCGCCGCCGCCGCCGCCTCCTCACCCGCCGCCACCCCCGCAGTCCACGCCGCTCGTCTACTCGCCTCACTCGGCCGGCCTACTTCTGCCGCCGCCTCCGCCGGCGCCGCCGGGCTATTCCCTGCCGTACCAGCTGCCGGCGCCGCCGCCGCCGCCGCCGCAGCAGCAGCAGCAGTTGGGCGCCGCGCCGGGGTCCGCGCTGTCCCCTGACCGCCACCAGCAGGTGATCCAGCGCTGCGACTACGCCGCCTACAAGCGGCCGGCCGCCGTCTTCAAGGAGGAGGCGTCGCTCGAGGCGAGCTCGCAGCGCGCCTACAGCAGCTGACGCGCGCCGGCGCCCGCCGCCCGCTCGGAGCCGGTGCTGGCGCGGACGCCGCAGTGCGGCGAGGCGCGGCGCGGCGGCGAGTGACGTCATGCCGCGTCCCCGCCGCGGACGAGCGTCGGACGGACGGCGGCGGCGGCGCGACGCGCCAGCGCCCCCGCCGTGGTGGTGCCCGTGTCCGTGTCTGTGCTCGTTCCCGTGTCCGTGACGTGGCGAGCGGCCGCCGCGGGACCGGAGGCGGGCCGCGCGCGTCCGGGGGCACTCGGTCCGCGACGGTGCCGGAGGAGCAGCGGTCGTCACCTCACGTGATCGTCCGATAGTGACAGAGGCGTGACCGGAACGGAGGCTGAACGCCCTTCGTTGTGTGGAGTGGCGGCACCGTCTGGAGACAGAGTGCGCCAGCCGGGCGTGAGAGAGGTGGGGCGTCCGGCAGCGACCTCCAGTGAGGTACAGACTTGCTGTCGGCAGCCTTCGACGGTGCCCGAACCGGATGCCTTCTAGGTGCCAGTTTTTGTAAACATCTAGTTAATCAGCTATCCAGTAATCGTTACATTATATCGATGCCAATGTCCAAGCGTGTGTTTGTACGATGCATATGACAGTGTTCAAGCTCAACTTCAGTACGTATTTCGCCGCGAATGTGACTGGAGGCCATCGCTCCTGGACCGGTGGCGTGAGTCCAGTGATGGTAACAGCCACAATCGAAACAACCTGGCGACGAGCGAGTCTTGCGATGCCACTCCACAGCGGGACAGTCCATTGCAGCTTTAGGAATGTGATAAGTTTGTGGGTCGCAACTTTGTCATAGGTGCATCAGTATGTGTCATAGCGGATGCCGTCTATGCGGCATGGAGCTTGAGCTGCGGCTGTTTGATGCTTGCAGACCACTGTTATACAAACATGATTATCGAATTGTTCACCACCACAAATATGGGAGAATATAATTTACGTTGTGATGGGGTGTATCGCCCGTTGCCAACTCATACTGCCCGGATGAGTAACTAGAAGGCGGCTTCTCGTGCAAACTGAGGCCACGGACATAGCAAAATACGTCCCACTACGTGAATGGCCATACCGGTTGCTGAATGGTGACAATGTCCATGTATTGTCCCTTCGTATATTGACAATTGTCACGCTGCGCCAGAGCAACAGCCGGACGCCCGACTCGGCTTTATCAGAAAGACTCGTCCATTGCGGACGGAGCTGAGCATGTCTGTGATGCGCGCACCGCCCATTCATTCGACTCCAAACCCGACTCGAAAGATGGGTCCGGGTCTTGAATAGGCTGCCGTGGAGTCTGCACCAGTCACGGAAGTTGGCACCACCGGTTCAGGGCACCAATACGGTGGTAAGGTAGGAAGCGGAAATTACAGAACCTGTGGTTCACAGCGAATGTTGACTGTCGAAACAGGAAGTCCGTTTCGCTGTGGTTGTTGCTCAGCTGGCGCGCGACTGATGCAGAGCATACCCAGACAGGGGCCTCCGGATCGGCCAGGGGATGCCGCCCCGTGTCGCCAGAATGACGGCCGGAAAACACATCGCGGCGGAACGGAATGGCCCTTCAGCCCTTGCCCGGAAGCAACGATGTGCCCCGTAGCGCTGTGCTTAAGGGAGGCCTTTTCCCGGAAAGAAATAAGGGGTCTCATAAGTGTTGAGTGGAGTGGGCCCAAATGAGTTCAAAACGCGTAAGGCCATCCTACGTTTCCCTGAGAATGTTTGTTATTTTGCACAATCGACTAGTGGAACAAATGCCGTCAGCTGGTTTGAGCATGCGCGCCGAGCGTTGATAGTGTAGTGGTTAACGCGCCTACGTTAACCACTGCACGTCTGGACTTTGCACGTCCAGGTACGGCCTTTGATTCCCCACAGTGGCGCCGCTAGCCTCTCACCCCCCCCCCCCCCCCCCGCCCTTCCCGCCAGGATGAGAGGCTGGCGGCGCCATATAGCTTAAGCGGCTGAATGCGTCATAAAGCCAGAATGGCACGCCCGTAATCTTGGGGAGCAAGGGTAGCGATCACTTGGGTGGCAGCTCTCGCAAAACCGAGCGACGTTGGCCACTGCAAGTAACGCCAGGGGACGCCGAGCGCGCAACAATGACCATCGTAAAATAATGTTCCCGAATCTCTTAAAATTAATTCGTGCAGTACAACACTAGGCGAATCTTTGTTTCAACTTTGAAATTGTCTCCTCGACGGATTAACAGCTGCAGCAACACAGAAAATAGAGATTTTACCTTACTCTTCCATTTTCATAACCAGATTCCAGCACCACTTTACGGTGTTGTAAAGACCAGCACGTTATTGTCAATCTAAAAACCGCACAGATGAAATAGACGCCCGGATTATCTCTACACGTGCGATTTGGTGTCCAAAATCGTTCAGAGGTACTTATTTCACATGTGTCACCATTTTCGTCCACCTGTTGGCTGCGGTCTAGTGTAAGCCACCAGAGCGACGCTGCGTGGCCTATGGGGACCACAACACCTGGATTGGGGTTTCTGTCGCATAGATATACGAGCGCGCATGCTCAAAAGTAAGTTATGTACATTGTACCACTATCCAATTCCGACTGATTGTTGAACATATCCAAACAAACATGACTTGGCCTTGTTTATTCAAATCGTCGACCCATTTTGATCTTCCATCTACATTCGCGGGATCTGATTTATGCCTTTCTTCGGGATGAGGATTGTTACGCCTTTTCTGCAGGTCTGGTGGAATGTGGGCATACTCGTGTACTTCCCGACAGCACCACAGACTATGGTGTCCAGTTCCTGCCAAAACACTTCGTGAAAAAGGTACCGTGCAATCCGTCCGGACCAGGACAGTCAAGCCTTCCATGGACCTGAGCGAAGGGTATTCAACCGGTCCATCCGGGCGCGCGATGACGGTTTTGAGATAGCAGGATGCCCACGAGGTCTTTCTTTCAGTGGCTCTGAGGAAAACGCGCATCTGGGGAGGGTTGGAAACCGTGAACAGGATTCAAAATGAATTCCCCTGGATGTCATCAAATCAACTATCAGTAATACACCACTTTTGCAAAATGAGTCTACTTAGTTCACTGCTTGTCGGGGTTCACATATGCCAACGTTGGCAATGGACACCGCACCACATCACAGTACCAGCAAACCCTGCGCCAATGCGAACGCACCTCTAAGGCACCTTCGCAGCACTTTCACCACTGCCACCTATCGGCGGAAATCGACACTCAAGCTTCCATGTGCGCCGCCTTGCGTTTGCGGTAGTTCATGACGTTGCGGTCGGTGGTGATCTGCGCCGTCTCGCGGCGCATCCAGCGCTCGTGGCGACGCGTGCTGGCCTGGCCGGCCGCGAACAGCGTGCGCTCCAGCTCGTCCAGTGTCGCTGTGACCGGCGTCATGTCGTCGGCCGTAAGGTTCATGGAGGCGTCCATGATGGGCCGCAGTCGAGAGCGCAGCGTCTGTGGGCGGCGGGGGGACGCGGTTGCAACGAAAGTGACGAGTCTAGTGGCTGGCGGATGCCGTGAGGTGAAAAGGTGAGCGTAGCCGCAACAGAACGCCAAACAACTATACTCTCATCATCGGTCGAATCGATCGGACTTTTAAACAACACTGTTAAGGACATTGACATGTCTTGCGCATAGTTATCCACCTGATGCGAAATTAATCCCCAACATTTCACAACAGCGCACGGATTTTTACCCCCCGGCATATCGACGGCCGACCCCCCCACCCCCCTCCCTCTCTCTCCCTCTCCCTACCCCCTCTCCTCTCCCTCTCCTCTCCCTCTCCCTCTCCCTCTCCCTCTCTCTCTCTCTCTCTCTCTCTCTCTCTCTCTCTCTCTCTCTCTCTCTCTCTCTCTCTCTCTCTCTCTCTCTCTCTCTCTCTCTCGCTCTCTCTCTCTCTCTC